TGAGCACAATCTCTGCTGTTATCTGAGAAATTATTTCTGATATCATTTTTTCCAGATCCTCTTTTGTTGCCAGTTCAGGGAATCCAGGTGGTTGAGTATTAGAGTTTTCAATCTCATTTCCCTTTGGGGTTGCTGTAGGTGTTCTGGAAGTCTGGTTTAGAGACATATTTACATGTCTTCTCATTTTGATGGGTGGGGTGTTCTGCTGGCGCCCACTCAGCTCACCTCTTCTGTGCTGGGAGCGGTGGTATGGCAGCCCACCAGCCCCTTCCTCTGCCCTGGGAGTGGTGGTATGGTGGCCCAGAAGCCCCTTCCTCTGCACTGGGAGCAGTGGAACAGCGGCCTGGAAGCCCCTACCTCTGTGCTGGGAGTGGTGGAATGGCAGCCCAGCAGCCCCTTCCTCTGGGCTTGGAGTGGTGGAATGGTGGCTGGTAGGCCCCTTCCTCTGTGCTTGGAGTGGTGGTATGGCAGCCAGGAGGCCCCTTCCTCTGCCCTGGGAGCAGTGGAACTGGGATAGTAGTTTTGACTCTTTCTCTCTGTGTCCTCTCCCATTTCCTCCCTCCTTGTTCTATGCATGTGATATTGGAGGTTAGTGAGTGAGAGACAAAATATTGGATATTTTACATCATGGGAAGAGGGAGGAATTTTACCAAATACCATCTGAATTCTTTCATTTGCTTACTTTATGCATGAAAGTTACCTCAACTTGAGCCAATCCTAAGGATTAGGCCTAGGGAAACAGCAGGAGATAGTAGAAAATGCACTGAGCCAGTACTGGGGGAAAAAATGTGTCTGGCTTCTGCCTTGACTATCCATTGCTGCTTGAATGATTTTGGAAAAAGCCCTTCACTTCTCTGGGCCACAGTTTCTCCATCTGTGAAAGTCATTACATTGGTCATAGCTGAGTGACAGGGTACCTTCCCACTCAGAATTTCTGCAACATGGGGTCCTGTGGATCCACTTCCACTCACATGGAGCCCTGGAGAGCCAAACCAACATGGGGCCCTTCCTGAGTCCTGGAGGAAATGCTCTAGACAAGACCCAGGTGTTCCTTGCCAAAGTCTGTTCAGCTGTGACTTGAGGCCAGGACTGACTACATGAGACTGCTGTTGGAAGCCTTACTGTGGCATCTTCTCAATAGCAAAATACCTGATGTGTCCATCCATCCAGACTACCAAGGCTCATGGTTAGAGCTGCTGTTGACGTGAGCCAGTAAGATAATCCTACAAACACTGTCACCAGTGACAACAAAAGTATTTAACTGTACATCTCTCCCACAATCTCTCTCTGTGCATTCCCTTATCAGAGTAGAGTACTAGAGATTTATAGGATTATAGAGAGAGATCATCATAAGAGGAACCTGTCATTTATATAAAGCACATCAAATGAAGAACAGGCATGGTTTTCAGGGAATGCTTGACTTTAAGAAATCAAACCCGAAGTTTAATTTGAATAGTCTTTAGAATGTTGTTGTATCTGGGTAGTTCCACCAAGAGAATCTGGGGTCAAGTTTTCCTTTTAATTGTTCGAAGGTAGAAAATAGTATATTGAGAGTTTTGCATCTGCTCTGCCACCATGTTCCACAGTAGGAACACTTTGGTACTTGGAAGTAGAGTGAAAAAAAAATGGTTGTGGGTTTGGAGATGGGGTTTGAAGAATGAGTAGAGTCTTCTCATGCTACCACTGAACCCCAAAGGAGGTCTTTCCAAGGGCCCACTGAGCCCCGAGTAGTCTTTGTCACATGGCCTTTGTGGTGGAAACCTCAGGCTTCCCTTCGACAAGAAGGTAAGCTGATGTTGCTAAGGGAGAGGATGTATTTAGGATGCATCCTTTGGAATCAGGGAATGCTTCTGCAAGAGAAAATGTCTGTGTCTGAGGATGGGTGTCCTGCCTTCCAGTCCAGGCTGTGGTACTACTATACATGCGAACTTTCTGGGCCTCAGTTTGGACATCTGGACAAATCACTTATTCTAGGTAGAGGGACCATTTTGCCCCCCGGGGTAAAGGGTTGGAGAGTACCAGGTGTGGGCTTTAGTAGAGCCTTTGTCATCTGTAAAACTCCTAGCTCTGATTCAGATAGGCTTCACCTCCCTGAGAACTACAAGAAAGAAATTCATTTGTTCTTCATCATCCCTCAGTCGTCAGACATTGTAGCACACCCATACTATGGGAAGCACGATGGGGATGACACAGAGCCCCCAAAGCAGTGGATTGTGTTTTGGAGGAAGTGCTGGATTGGAGAGGCCATCACTGAACTGCAGCTGGGCAGGGCAGGGATAAGGGGGCAGAGGTAGCCTTTTTGATGGTGGGCGAACTAGAACATCACACTGTTTTGTGATCAACATGCTTGAATATGGGACCCAGAGACTGATCACTCCAAGACCACAGACAGTGCTTCCACCACAGTTGCACCCTGCTTCCCTGTCCCCATGAACCACGTCCTGTGCTCCGGGCTGTGTCACCAGGCATCCAGAATCTTTGGATCATGTCTGCTGGGACCTGGAGCTGCCACACTGCCACGTCCCTGGGTGTCTGCACCACATGGGGCAGCAGGCATCACTGCAGAGCAAATGGCTCTGAATGTGGCACCAGCCCACTGTGCTGACCTCCAGAAGTAGCTCTTTCTGGTCTTTCAGCTTTGCTCCCATCAAACCAATAAATCTAGAATCTGAGGCCTCTGGTGCTACCAGGTTTTTCCTCCATTGCACCCTTCAGCCTATGACATGTGACATGCATTTGGGGGATAAACTGCTGCCACTTTTGCATCAAGGGCTACAGGTTCCCTGCTTAATGGAGGCCAAGGTGGTGGAGTTCAGACCAGTGGGTCAGGTTCTGGACTGCTGGGAGCCCTCCCTCCTTAATGTTGGTGTGATTAGTAGGCTAGGCCCTTGGACAGGCCTGTGTGCCCCTCCAGGCCAGGCCAGGAAGGGGGACACCGTGGCTGTAATGGAAACTGGCATTAAGGAAAGGGGTCTCTCAGTAAGTCCTCACCTTGGCATTCTCCTGGTCTAGAACTCTATCATTTTCCTACTAATTTGGAAGGTTGTGTGTCATCTTTTCTCTGTGAACAAGTCTGTTCTACCAAGGTTAATATTATTTTTTTTTTTGCTTTCAGGAGAGTAGATCTGGAGAAAGCAACAGCTGTGTGGAAGAAATAATCAGGGTAAGGATATTGTTTTCAAAATCTTCTCCATGTTTTGGGCATAGATGCCAAGTAGAAAGGAGTCGTGTGGCCACGTTATCACAGGAGCCCACAGTGGTTTGTTGATTGACATTTACCTTTCCTGAGGGCAATCACATCCACTCCCCACATGACACTTAAACAACAGTTCCTGTAGAAATCTAGGAGTTTGGCCTTTGCGCGAGCCTGTGTTCAGACCAAGGTGGTGGTGCTCTATTAAAGCGACCAGCTGAAGACAGAAAAACAGACTTCAGATGAGAAATACCAAAGTGCTCATACATGGATGTGCCGTTTATCACCCTGCTATTTAAGAGCATCCTTTAACAGTCTGTACTTTTTGAGTCAGGCAGGGGTCGGCTTGTTATTTTTCTTTGAAATTTCATTAGAATCAGAAGCACCTGACAAAGAGGTAATGCTCAGAGTTGGAAATTATATTCCTATGTCATCTTGTGTGTCATTCATTTCCTGGTACTCTCTGCTTGCCTGTCCTTGACACCATCTTTCTCCTTGGTCTTTTTCCCTCCCTGAGCCAACTTCACACATGTTTGCAGGTTGGTTTGGCTGTTGCACCAGATTCGTGTCTCCCTGAGTGTTCCAGCTTATAATCAGGAAGTTGTCATCAACCCATAGTTTTCCTCCTCTCATATTTTTTCAAGGCAGTAGCCTAATAATTTACAGTTCTCAGAAAACTGATATTACACTGGGCAAAACACTAAGACAAACTGGATGAAATGTATGGCCCTTCCCTAATAAAGAAAAAAATGACAACAACTTCATTTTAATGTGTTCCTAACTTTTGGACACCCCACACACTTTTTGTTGAACTGCAAGTATATTTCAGTCATGCTATAGAATTACTTGGCTTAAAATTTTACATTAGCAAAGTGTTTTAAAAATAGACATTTGAAAAAAAATAGACATTTTTCGGGCTGGGGATTTAGCTCAGTGGTTTCGCCGCCTGCTGCGCAAGCACAAGGACCCGAGTTCGATCCTCAGTTCCAAAAAAAACCAGACATTTTTCTTTCTGGAAAGCATTACTTCATAAATAAAGGTCTTAAATTAGCCAGAATAATTAATTGAAGTTTGATATGTCAAATCCATAATGACTCCTTTTTATTTTTTTTAACATGAAAAAACAATTGTCAAAACAGACAGCTTCATGTGTGACATTTAAGTACATGTTCATTAAAACCCAGATTGTATTTTATATCCCTGTTATCTCTATTCTGTTTTGAACAACTGATTGTGTATAGTACTGAGATAAATTTTCTTATTTTTCTCTTTTGACATACGTTCATGTTTGGTCTCCAAATACTCCATTTTAAGCCATTTTTCCTTTGATTGGTTATGGTGTTTCCATCTGGAAGATGATACCACCAAAACACTCCAGACCCCATACTGCTTTCCCTAATTAGCAAATTACTCCTTTTATCATCTCTGGACCTTTCTAAAAATATGAAACAAATCTGTCCTTTGATTTTTTTCTCTTCTACTCTCTGAGCAGTTTAGGTAAAGTAAAGATATAGTTTAAGTAAAGTAAAATTGAATTAAAATAAAACAGATTGCCGCAATCAAGAGTTTGTCTATTTTTCTTTCTTTCTTTTTTTTTTTTTTTTGGTACCGGGGATCGAACTCAGGTCCTTGTGCCTGCGAGGCAGGCAGCAGAACCACTGAGCTAAATCCCCAGCCCTGTCTATTTTGTCTGTTTTTCTAAATATAGCTGATGAAAGCCATGTACCTTTCCTGCTCCACCCCTCGCCTCCTGTGATACTGACTCCTGATACTTCTCACGAGGGTGGCTAGTACTGCCCCTACCACCATTCTCCTTCAGTTGGGGGTGGAACCAAGGGAAAACCTGGAACTGTGAATGTATTTGCAACCCCTGTGTGAGACTGAAGCATCCACATGGATGCCAGAGGGGGCTGGAGATGAGGACTTTGGCTCTGCAGGAGGACAGTGGGTGTCCAAACACCCTGAGCTCTGCTCCCTCCAGAGCCCATGAGGAGTGGTCCAGGATGGGAGAGGCATAACCACCAGCAGCGCTCTCTCCCACCTGCCCACCTCGGGGGATGGCATTAGTGGGTCCTGGGCAGGCGGTGTTCCCAGCAGCCCCTGGCCTGTGTTTCTGACTCTCCCTGCCTCCGCCCATCAGCCATTCTCCAAGGTGCTCTTCCTCTCTTTCCCTAAGCATACTGTTCCCTCCAAACACAAGCCCAGGACCCATCCCTGCTACATTTATAGCATATCTGTCACACTCCAGCCTTCCTCCTAGACTAGAACCACAGTGTCTAGAATTCAGGAGTCCCAATTTTGTTGAATGAATGAATAAATCAGTGAATGAGTGTTAGTGAGTCCTCTGAAGGAAAATGACAAATGGCACTGTGATGTTCACAGGCAGATTCCATTTTCTGTAAATCATTCACACGATATCCTTTCTTTTGCATGCCAGGTTTCCTTGAGTAGTCTTTGTGGAGCCAAATTTTCCTTATAAGCTTCTCTGCCCTTGTGCCCTTGTGTCCAGCTCAGGTAAATGATATGGTCAAGGTCACCAGGAGGACCTGTGATTTGCAGCCATGGTGTTTATGTGACAATTCTCTCTTACTGCAGGGGGGAGAGAAAATTCATTAAAAAACGTCTTTAAGTGATGAAAATTGGTGTAGCACTCATGCCATTGGAACAACAATATAGAGACCAACAGACATGGTGCTTTGGTCTCTTGGACCCAACAATCTGCTGGAAGAAATGGATGATAGGTTTTGTAAATTTATAAATAGTATTGTGACACAGTTTTTATAAATAGTTTTATTCAGTAAATAAATATATAATGTGAAGTGTGCTAAACACATTTTAGGAGTGCTTACTATAGAGCCTATGAGCTTCCTTGGAGCTAGTTCCCTGAGGAAGTGACATTGAACTGAGAGAGGATATGAAGGAAATCAACTGTGGAGAAGAATGGGAGTTTGAAAGCAGAGGATGTGGGAGAGCTTGGCTTGTTAGTGGCCCTGGAAGGATGGGGAACACCAGAGTGGCTATAGGGTAGGCAGATAAAGCTGAGCAGGGGAGAAAGGAGGAGCCACAAGATACTGTACACTCAGGCAAGTTCAAGGTTGTGTAAGGAAGGAACCTGGTAAAGCATTTGAGCAGAGAGTGAGGTGAGCATATTGGCAATCTCAATGTTCCACTCTAGCCACACGGAAAATGGAGTGAGGGAGATGAGGAGAAAAGCAAGAGTGGGTGGGGGCTGTTACAGGAGTCCAGAAAGAGATGCTGGAGGTTCCTTCTCCAACGTGGGGAAACTCAAGAGGGGTCCTGTACTAGAGGAAGGAGAAAATCGCAAATCCACTTTTCTGGAGTGCAATCAAAACATCCAAGTCAACATAGAGAAGAGAGGTGAATGAAGGGGGTTGGGAGCTCAGAGCAGAGGTCTGAGCTGCATCCCAGTGTTTTGGCACATCATTGGCAATGAAACCACAGACATAGCTGCACTTTCCAGGAGAGAAAATAGAGACCAAGAAATAGTTGAGAGCTTAAATTCTCACAGTCAAATGTCTAGAAAATGAAGATCCACTGGGAAATAGAAATGAGAAAGAGTGACCAGAGAAGCTGAGGGGTCACAGACTTTATAGGGGGAGAGTTCTGAGATCAGTAGCATTCAGAGTTTTGAGAGGCCAAGAAAGGCAAACATCTGAAACCACCCAAAGGGACAGACAGCACAAAGGTGGTTGGTGACATCTTTGAGGATTCTTTCTGTGAAAAGGAAAGGACTGAATCCAGAGAAAATGGAGAAAACTACATCAATGAATTTAGAAACTTCTTATGAGCAAAGTCCACAGTTTCCAGTTGCACTATGCCCCGTGTCCAAGAACAATAGCCAAGTGGTAAAGCACTGACATTTACTGAACACTCATCACGTAGGAGACCTAAGTTCTCGGCACATGTCACTCTGCTTATGGTGACAGCTGCCCCACGAGCTTCCCCATGTCACACACCCATGTTACAGGTGAGGAAACTGTAGTGGGGAGAAGTTAGACACACCTTGCCCGAAGTCACAGAGCTGGGAGTGAGCTGGGATTTTGTTTGTTTGTTTGTTTTTGGTACCGGGGATCGAACTCGGGTCCTTGCACTTGCACAGCAGGTGTCGAAACCACTGAGCTAATCCCCGGCCAGAGCTGGGATTTTAACAAAGACATCTGGCACCAACTCATACTCTCTTAACTACTACAAATGAAGAAGTCTCCCTGGCTCATTAATGAAACCATCCAGGTATTTTTCTGTGGAAGAGAGGCTTCACATTTCTGCATGATTACGATGTGAAAATGCTGGATCATGCATTTGTGCACTTACGCTCTCACATAAGCTTTTATAGCCAATGGTACCAACCTCATCTGTAACTTCTTCTTCCTCGCGCCTCTCTGATTTTTGCTGAGGTGACTGTTTTTAAGTCATTTGAATATTACATTGTGTGCTGAAGTATAATTATTTTTTATTCTTACTCAGAAAATTTTAATCCTGGGACCTAATAAATCTGTGTGTAATTGCAAAATTCTCTTAACCAAGGGCAAAATGAGAACTGAGTTCTGTGAAGATGGGCAATAAGGGGTGGAAGCCTTCTTGGCCAACATATGTCTGTAACAGTTAGTTTTCTAAGTTGTACTATATTTCATCCTTAAAGCTTCCAGTGCTGTAATACTTTGGTGCTTTTCATAGCATCGCCCATTAACATATGATGGCATTAACATTTGTTCAGTCAATAAAATCTGTTTACAATTTATGTGAGGGGTGCCAGCTGCACAAGTTTTAAGCAAGATAGCTCTAGAAAGCATTTGCTGAGAGCACTCCTCATGACATAGTGTGGCTTTTTGTAAGAGGCCAGTGCTTAAGATTCTGATTTAAAAATAAGGAATGAATTTAGAGACCATTTCTGTGCAGCATCTGAGCAGATTACCTTTTTGGCTTTCATCTTTAGTCACTAATTTAACTCC